GAAGCAAGAAGCGAATCGGATTTTTCCTAGTGCTTTTTCCTTATACTACTCTCCATTTAGTGCACAGATTGTAAATTTACAAATGACACTGCTGGTTCTGTGATTATAATAGGTAAGTCCAGATATTTTGGGGTGAGTTGGCATTGCTCTTGTTTTCTATTTTCTGAAATTCCTAGAGCTTCTCATTGTTCTGTGCAGTGGTTGGATCAAGACTTGCTGTTGTTGTTTCTGGAATTACTGTAGCTCTAACACTGCATAAAACGTAGGCCTCCAATGGGTAGCAAAGCTAGGTAGACCAGGTATGGTAAGCATTCATAATCATTGCTGTTTTGAATAGTGGAAAAAGAGGTTTCCAAGAATGATATCAAGCTGTTCTTTCTTTTCAATAATTACACATCTGTGAAATTGCTCATTTCTCTGCACTTCAACAGCAGACCTCTGTGGGCTGCATGTATTTACTAAAGGTTCACAGGATAATTTGTTCTGGAAGTAACCTACTCAAAGCAGAGAGAGCTAGGAGGTTAAATTTCTGTAAATTTATTATTCTAAGAAACTTCTGAATTGGGTCGTTCTTAGGTATAGAAAGAGCTCTCTTGGAAATCTCTTAAAATTATGCACTTTTACCTGAAACACATGCCTTTAAAAAAGAAACTGGTAGAAACTTCCATGTTTTATGAACTTAGGACAAGTCTTTTCCCATGCAGACAAGTCACTGAGGCTCCACCATTCAGAGCAAACGGATTCCCAAAATATTTATAAAAGCATGTCTTGAAGCTTGAACAGTGAATCAGTCACTCCAGACTATTATCTCACAAAGTGATCATTGCTGATGTGTCAGGTCTCAGTCAGGAGTGTTAATACAACTAATGCATGCAGTTTATGCATGAGTTTATGCTGACTGGGTTTGTACATGTGGCAATGAAATATTGGGCTCAAGTACACGGCAATACTTCACCCTGAAACTTATGCTTTGCCTTCCTATTTTGATAAGAATATTTTGCCTTTTGGCAGCTTAACAGATGTGCTAAGATTTTAATTAAATCAACCAGTGTTCCCTAAGGCAGAAGAATGGCCTATTGGGTGATAGAAGAACAAGCAAATGGAGTGGGAAAAGCAGGAGAAAAAGTGGGAAAAGCCATGCTGAATCTGTTTTTGAAGCTAAAGTGATATCACTTTTTTGAGGGAAGAGATATGTGAATGGAATTTGAAGTGAGGTTGAATGTTGAGTAGGTATTCAGACCTTGGTAGCTGAGAATCCATGAAAGAGAGAGCTTCTGGATTCTGTTTTAGGTAAAAAAAAAGATTAAAAAGAGCTTTGTTTTCATAGCCTGAGTTTTAGAAATCTTTGCCATTCTTTTTTCTACCTAGGGTTTTGTAAAATTAGATTTTGTCTTCTGACTATTTATTATGATTCAACTACTTTAGATTGACATAAATTTACCGACTCTTGGTCTTCCATCCTTCCAGAAGAAACAATTCTCGCAAGCAAACTCCTGGGTCACTTACCTGTAAAGGTCAATGCTCCTGATCTGTTTTATAAACATAAAAAAACATATCTGACTTAGAAACTACAAGTGGCAGAGGGAGACAGACTCCTGTTGATAACATTAATTGTCCTTTGATAAGGTAATATGAGGGTGATGGGTGCTTAAGGACAAGGAAACACAGTGATGTCTCAGTCCCCTGCAAAGAAGAGAAGGTGGCTTTTCTTAAGTCTCTTGTCTGTTTTGCTTCTGTTCAGCCAGCACTGCTATTCCAGAACTACACTCACGGATATCTTGCATTGTTGAGCTCAGAGATGTGCATTAGCTAGCTCATAGCAATTATCCTTAAGAAATGCTCTTTTGTGTATTTCCTCTGTTATTCAATGTGCTGTTTATCAGAGTTGACTTCCAAGATAAAATTCTTACACGGAAACTTGGTGCCTAGTCTTTATATAGGATATTACATTTCAATCTTGAAATGTATGAAGTTACTTTTCTAGTTACCCATAATGGTTCTACAGTTCAACAAAAACCCATGGGTAGATGCATTTGTATGTGCATGCGTGCATTCATACATGCATGAGATAAAAGCCAATGCTCACTGAACTGCAGTGGTGATATGGTATTTACATCATAATACAGTGTGCTTTATAGAGCACAGGCCATGTAATTGGGATCGTTGAGTTCTGCTTGTACTTTGCCTCAGTTGTAGTCTTTCAGTAATTACTATGATAAAAACATAAGCCATCTCAGTTGTAAAGCTCCCTGAAATAGAATTCCTTACGTTTGTCCAAGCGTTGTGCCTTCATCCTTCTAAGACTTCCATCTTGACAACTTTGTTGTTCTACAGCAGGAAATGTTAATGGTCTTTTATATTATGTTTATGGAAGCTTCTACTAGCACATATACATTCGAGAAACTGAGTGTCACATCATTATGCTGTAATTCCTTCTTTTTTCTTACTATTTTTAATTCCAATGACTAAAAATAAAATAGGAACCCCAGCTAAAATAGTTGCTACATGAATAAAGGCAGAAGTGAACGTCTTTCTGCTCTGGCAAGCTTTGTACTGTATTTGCAAATGGTGACAGTTGATTTATATTCTTCCCTAAAGTAGGCAATGATACTCCCATACACAGTGTATTTAGGCAAACTTGCAAAAGTTTGTGTGACAAATAGTGTGACTTGGCACTTCTAAGGAAGATGCTGTTTTTGAATTTTGCAATAGTAGTTCCAATGTTTTGTTCTTATCTGTACTTTTCTTTGTAAAAGAGCACATATAATCATCTTAATTCTTTTTTGCTAAGCTAGGAGTAATCATGTATTTAATAAGACTGCCAATAAACATAAGCAAAAAAGGCAGAATGTTTCACTGTGAGTGAAAATACAATATTTATTGAGTTCTGCATTTCTAATGCCTTTATATAGAATATTTGTATCTAACATGTTTGAAGCTGTTATACATCAATATGTGATCTCCCTTTAAACAGCACCAACAGATTATATAAAGCTAAGAAAAGCTACCAACCATTTTAAAAATATAAATATGATTCTTTTCTTAAGATGCACTTAGTACTTTTTAAAATGTATCTTCTCTTAAAAAGAAAAATAAAATGGAAAAGACCTGAACCCAAATTCTCCAAAGCTCAAGATTTAATTCAGTTACTTGTGTTTGAGGAATAAAAGGATTTCTCATAAAAAATGTTTTCTCATGTCTTCAGACAAATGGATTGAGTACAATCAAATCTAACAGTAGTGTCTGAGGTTAAGTGCCTAAGTCCTTACTTACACAAGTTTGTCTCTTAAAAATGCAGCTATTCTTAGTGGGCATGATGGGAGTGGATTGAACTTGGGTTTGGTGATCTTAGAGTTGTTTTCCAATCTTAATGACACCATGATAGTAGTTGAAGCTGCTCATCTTCTTGAGCATTTCTTTTCCCTTGCAAGCGGAGTGAGAACCTGGAGCTGAAAGCAAGACTCCCTATTACTCATCCCCTTCCTCAAAAAATAAAAAAGAGTAACAGCTAAATTAAAAAATAATTCCTTCTTTTACAAAATTCCATGAGATTTGTTAAACTTACATATATGCAAGTTTATATATGCAAATAGCATATATGTACACCTGCCTTCTTCCATGCTGTATGTGTGGGCATGTAAAGAAAGGATGCAGGAAGTTGATATGTGTGCATGAGGTGTGTGGTAGCCTGGGAAGATTTTTTTTTTTTTTTTTTCTGGAAGAAAAAAATGAGAAGCTGACTGCACTTTTTATGACCCTTTTACTGTTCTGTCATAAATATCCATGGCAACATGACTGTTTCTTTCATGCTGGTATTGTATCATCAAAATAACAATAAACATGGATTTAAATTAACACGGTCGAATAGAACTTGCAGCAAAGTGTGTGTTAATGCAGTTCTACTCGTCAGGAAAGGAACACTGTTGTTGGAATACAGAAGTTTTCAGACATTACTTTACTCTCTCTTTTTTTTTTTTTTTTTTTTTGGCTACTTATATTCTTTTTCTCTCCACTCCCTCTCAGTTCATTGTCTAGTGTGTGTAACTTAATTTGTCAGTTCCATCTCTATGCCACGTGAAGCCTTAATAAGGGTCAAAACTAATTTCAGAAAGGTTTCCATTCATTTCAATCTGGAATCTCTATTGGCTTTGATACAGCCCAAAACGATTCCTCAAACAACTGAATGCAATGATACACCAATGTACATTGTATAAATTTTTATTTTATGGATGTGATGCATAATGTCGTTTCTGGATGACTTTCATATGACTGGACAAACAAATAGATAAAACTCCCTCTTCTAATTATCAGATCTTGCTCGCTTATAGACAGACTTGCTTTTTCTTTTTTTGTGCTACACAGAAAGTTAATTTTTGTTTTGATATTCTGTTATTGTCACTGTCCTTGGAGGTGTTCAAGAAACGTTCCGATGTCGTACTATGGGACATGGTTTAGTGGAGAATACTGGTGGTACAGGGATGGTTGGACTGTATGATATTGGAGGCCTTTTCCAGCCTTGGTGATTTTGACTGTTGCATGATTTGCCATCCAACAAACTTCACTTGTGACAGAGTAAGGAATACTTAAAATGAAAACATTTGCAATTAACAGTCAGCTTTATTTTGTATTTTTTAAAATCAACAGTAAGATCAGATGAAATAATAGAACAGGATGCTCTGAAAGTCTTGTGAGATTCTTCTGCTGCTGTATGGTTTTTAGAGATTATATCAATGTTTTGAAATAGCATTTTGGAAACTGTTGCCACTTTTCAACTTGGTGTGGCAGTGGGGTGAATGCATATCTAACTGACGTAATGATTTGTGAATTCTTGCTGTGCAGAGGTGATATCTCTCCAGATCCAGTCTGTCAGGCTGATTTGTTACATGGTGCCTCCTTCAAGCAGTCATTGCCTCTGTACCACAAATCTTGTATAGATTCACTTTAAACAAATTTAGACTCCAATTAGGAAATGCTGATGTTATTTTCATTCCCTTTTCTATCTTCTTCCAGGCGGAATCCCTGAGCCCTGCTCTGCCATAACCTCAAAGCCAGCTGCTGCCTGCCGTCCCTCCCCATCCACCACTACGAAACCCTCCAGGACGCGGCTGGAGGCAGCGCGCTGACTGATCGCCTCGAGCAGGCTGTGGGCTCGCAGCAGCAGCTCGCTGCCTCTGACATCACTCACGGAGCTCACATCCCACTCCGAGCTCCGTTCGTTAGTCGGTCCATCGGTCGGTAGAGGAGGCAGGAGACGCTGCGAAGAGGATCGGTGAGGAACAGAACGAAACAGAGGGGCTACATCATGAAATTCTTCCCTGCTTATTACTTGCTGCCTCTTTTTCCTGCGCTGGTCTTCAGTGCTAGGTGAGTACAGAGAGCTATTTTGCTTACAGTTCTGTTCTGTTTGCTGTTTATTCGTTTAGACTGGGGATTTGCAGGAGGAATAACACTGGTTTCAGCTTCTGCTGGGAAGTTTAAAGCACGGGTATCTTTTCTGATTCTTGTCTGCCCCCTCCCTCTCTTGATCCTCTGAGGCATGCTGAATCTTTTATGTGTTGTTTCTGGGTTTTGTATGTTCTTAGTTAAAGAGCTGCTCCTGTATAAGTTGACCCTCTGCTTATGAGATGAAACAGGACAGGGAACAAATATAAACTCCATCTGTGTCCATATTGCTCCATATGCAGCAATAGAATCATAGACTCAACATTGCTGGAAAAAACCTCCAAGATCATTTCCCCATTAAACCATGTCTCTTAGTACCACATCTAAACATTTCAAATAGCATGGGAAATAAGGAAACCAAATGCTGAAGTGGATAATGTGCTAATATTTTCCCCTACTGAGTGCAGAAAAACAAACCCTTCAACAGTCTTATCCCAGCTCAGGCTTTTGCATCCAAACAGAGACTTATAGCTTATCTTCTTTCCAGTGAAATACAGGTGAGGTGTTGCAGTGTTATCTCAATGCCAGGAAATGTTGAAAAGTTCCTGCAATCCAGCAGCACTCCTTTCTGTGCAAGTACAGCATGTCACAAGAAAATACAAACAAAACCTACTGCAAACTCAAAATAAAAACTGTTCTGAAATGCAGTGCTCTGATAAGATAACATGCGTTGCACAGTTGCTTAGAGATAGTATGTTGTCTGTTCTGTGGGCATAACATGTTTAGCCAGGGGAAAATACAGCTTATACACTCTATCCCATTGTCTTGTTTAGAGAAGAAGAGTAAATGCTGGGTGCAGAGTAGATGTGTCCTAATAACACTGCTCGCAGTTCAGGCTTCTTAAATTCCCATTGCTTGACAAAAAATTAACCTAAATTTTAAGCGTGACATTTTTCTGCTGTGCTATTAGTACCCAATCAGCTTCTAAGTCCATAAAGCACATTATCAGAGGATGCGTGCATTGGTAGGAAAATGCCTGATAAGGCATTTGTTCCTATAGTTTTTTTGTTTGTTTGTTTTTTCCTGCATGTTTCAAGCCTTAATTATTCATAGAGTTTCAAAAAGAAAGTAAGGTGGGGCAGGAGCACCTCTCAGTGCATATGCAAACACAGGGCTGTGAAACTGTAAAATCTGAATGCAGGGAGAAGTGAGGAGCATCATAATGCTTCAATTATTTTACTACTGCACTTTTTTTTTTTTTTTTTTTTTTGAGGGAGGTGATGGGGTTGTGTATGTCACTTTTATTTTTCTGTAATGCTTGTGGTTTAGAAACTATAGAGCCAGTCAATATAAACAACTCCAATGCTCTTTGAAATATAAAACTCAGAGGAGAATTGCAACAGACTGATTCAATAGGTTTCCTTTCTGATTTAATAAGCAGTCTAAGGAAACATTCACTAGCAGCCAAGCGTGAAACTTGTGAATTTAGATTAATAGTTCTAACTCATTTAGAAGTAATATATTCTTTCCTAAATTATGCCAAAGTTGAAGAGGGAAGGAAGTACCAGGGCAGTACAGAAACAAGTTTGCATCTTGCACAGGTTTGCACAAAAATGTAGTGAAAAGAAGTATGGGAAGTTGCTTCAATTTTTCATACGTTACAGGTTTTATGAAAACTGAGATAAATGACTCATTGAGTGCTCAGGAGATGAATCTGGGAAAAAGGCCTCTAGTACCAAACCCAAAGAACATCCCTAATTGAGGGAGGGAATGTGAGACTGTCCGCTTAAAATTCTGCTCAAGCACTGTTTTGTGTTGTGAAGTTTTGCTTTTGTGATACCATCCTGTAGCACAGGACACTGATGCTCTGCTGTAGTTCTGGTGATTTATAAGACTGGAGGTATTGCACCATCCTGGTCAGCAGCTGCCTTCAGTCACTTGATTCTTAACTGTCTGCATAGAACTTTGAGTCATTTTTCAACAGCACGTGATAGAAGCTTAAAAAAATGATACAGTGCTAACAATAGATTATTCTCCTTCAGCAGAAGACACTGCCTGTAATTTGTAGCAGTCAGTATTTCTTGGGAACATATGGTTAATGCATTAGCTAGACCTGAACATAACAGGATCTTAGGAGCAGTTGTGTGAGCAAAAAGCAGAATCTAATATCGTGCTGTGTGAAATTGCTTAGCTAAGGAAAAGCACAGGCCTTGTGGTGCAGAAAGTTTTCCACTGTGATTTTTTTCCTTCCCCTAAGTTTATAGAGAAGCGAAGCACCGCTAGTTAATATGTTGATGCTGAAATCAGTGAACACAGTATTTAATGCAGATGCGGACAACTGAGGTTTTTTCTTCCTTATCTTATGTGATGTTATTGTCTTTGCCTCATGTCATGGTTTCATACCTTCAGAAGACATCAGCACGTCCTCAAGGCTAATTGTAAACAAATAAATTGACAAGTAGAACTGCATTAACACACATTTTGATGTACTTTATGGTACTGTTAAGAAGACAAATGTGGTTTTTAAGCTTGTGTTCAGTATTAATTTCTGATTTTCAAAATGGTACTAACATCTTGTCATGGTCTTAGACCATATAAATGAACCACATGTCTATTACATTAGAGAAAGTTCATGTTCTTAAAATGAACACTTTTCGGTATTGCGTAGACTTGGTTTTCATAGAATCATAGAATCACCAAGGTAGGAAACGACTTCCAAGTTCATCCAGTTCAACTATCCACCTGCCACCAGTATTTCCCCACTAAGCCATGTCCCTTAGGACAACATCTAAATGTTTCTTGAACAACTTTTGATGTGGCTTTGAGAGTCAGTTATTACTCTGAATAATATTTTAATTTTCTTTGTACTGCTGAAGTGGTAATAAGATTGAGGTATACTTGCCTGTCCAGTTAATGATTTGTTTGGATGGAAATAGTAAAAATTAATGCTTGGAGTCCTACAAAAAGTTAAAGAGAATACATTTTTGAAGCTGAAATTACTATTCTAAAGCTTGTGTTTCCCTGTCTGTTTTCAGATTTCCTTGGACCGTTTGGTTTGGGCAGATGTAATGCAATGGTTGTATACGTGTTATTTTTTCAGACTACACTGAAGACACCTACGGAAATGAGTCCTACAGAACCAAGCATTCAATAAGTGCACATAGCGTATAATAGGCAAAGGATCTTATTTTGTCTGTGTGCTTTAATGGATGCAGATGCTTAAGCCTTCTGACGAGGAAAAATACTATTTGTGGAAGAGAATAATTACATGAAGTTATTCATTTGGTTTAGTAACTGAGATCTGCAGCACTGATTATCTTGTCGAAAGAGTCTTGCTTGTTTTAAGCTAGAAGGAGTGTTTTCGATGTATTAATTAAACATTACAATTAGAAGATCAGGTATTTAAATCAGCAATGTTTTTGTTGCCCAAATGACAAATATCTGATTCACTAGAAGCATCTTGGTGTGAAGCAATATTGGTATTTTTGTCTAAGACAAGTGCCTAAGAGACAGGAATTTTCTGTCCACGCATAAAATTTGCCAGATGCAAAATTGGATTGAAATAGAATTTTATAGTTGAGAATAAGCATAGGATGCATTTCCATAATAATATTAATAAAACTAAGCAGCAACTTACTAAATGGCTGTGCAAATACCAGGGTTGTGAAAGGCAGAATTTGTATTCTTTTCATGTCAGTGAAATGGCTGACGCTTTTTTTCTTAATGGTGTAACAGAGTGACAGCCTTATGAAACCAATGTGAGAAGGCAATCTAGAGTTCAGTGTCTTCTGAAGAAATACTACCTTTGTTTTTCATTAGAATAAAAGTAGTGTGCCCATTTCTGGTAGGTGGGTGTTTCTTAATGCTGGTATGTGTTTTGGTTTGTTGTACTCCTATTGTTGGAAGAGATGTAAATAACTTGAACTCACTTCCTCTATGAAATATGAGAACCTGACTCAAATGCTTGCTTTTTCCCCATACTATATGTTCGATGTCAGCTATTTTCTTTAAAGCATTTGTTGGTTTTGGTAACTTCTTCTAAAGTACATAAGAATACTGGTATCTTTCTTTCAGATAACATTGTTTGAAGGACTTCGTCTGAGCCTTGATGATGGGTAAACGTGAACGTCTTTGACATTACTATACCGAGGGTCATGGAAAAGGAAAGAAATGTTGAAAGAAATCGTGTTGGTTTTTTCTTTTTTTCTAGTTCTTAAACTGTTGATCTTGGAAATAGGAACAGGTTGCCTAGGGATATGGTTGATGCCCTATCCCTGGAGACTTTCAAGGCAAGGCTGGATAAGGCCCTGGGCAATCTGATCTAGCTTTGGAGTTCCTGTTCATTGCAGGGGATTTGGATTAGATGGCCTTTGGAGATCCCTTCCAATTCTAAGGATCCTATGATTCTATTCTATTAAACACTCTGTGGGCTATGAACAGATGTTCAAAGTGACTTTTTTGCTTAGACAGATAGGAGAGTAGAAAGAACCCTGCCCCTTCCTAGATTTTGAGGTGGAAGAGTAAGACTTGCTTGTGGTGATGTCCTTGTCTGTAACCACAATACTGATATGCCCTTGCACAGGTGGCTGAAAGCAGCCCCCCCTTCTGGGATCTTAGGCTGAGGTCTAGCAGCATCCTTCCTTTTCCCCATGACTCTTAGTGAACTGAAGGGAAAAAAAGAGTTTGATGTAGACTACTTTAGCATTTTCACATAAGCTGGGTGGATAACAAAGATTGTTTTAATATTGCGCTTTTTGAATACTTTCAGAAATGCAAGGGCGTTGACTCACCCCTGTGTCACCTGCTCAGAATTCCTTTCACACTTACTTTAGCCATCTGAGTTTTCTAGTCTGCAGAATTATTCTTGTTTCTATCAAGCATGTATGATTATGCATAGAAGGTTGACATTTTGCAAGTACTTGGTTTGTAGAAGTGTCATTCAGCATATGACATGCAATCTCATTATACCTTTGCTGTGGGCT